TGAAGCGATGTCCTCCACAACTAGACTGAAGAACAAAAGGACAGCAACTTGTCTATTCCCCTTCCCCGATTCCCCAACTCTGTTCCCCTACCCCAATTCCCCAATGGAAAAAAAATCTAAAAAAAAAAAGAAAAACTCATCCATCTGTGTAAGATGATTATATAAACAGAAGAATGTAGTTATTTGGGAATATGTGTGTGTGTATTTTTGTGTATTTAAAATATTCAGAATGGTACTTTAAGAAAGATTTGAAATAGAATTACTGCAATGGTAAAAAAGATTGTTTCTTTTAGACTCCATCTTGTAATTGCAAATTTCAAAGCAGAAGTTTTCAATTCATTTTACTGGTTGAGATGCATTCCTACTAATTAAGATGATTCTTCATTGGGTACTTGGTAATGTGATTGCCTTTTGGGGTTCCACACAGATCGTAATCACACATTGTAATTGGTATTTATTTCTGCTACAATTCTCTACCATTATTGTTGTGAAGGTCCTTTCATGTTGAGTCTGTTTCCAAAAAATCTAAAACTTTTCAAGACAGTTCAAAGTGTTATTTAGATTGAGGAGTTGGGAGCCTAATTTGCTATGCAGTATGAAATCCAAAGATTTCAGTCTCCTAAACTCTAACGAAAGCATAGCCAGTTTTCTTTTTGTTAATTGAAATTAAAATATGTAGATTTTTATACTTACGAATTAGAAAAGCAAAAGGTTATGCCCTAAGAAAAATTACATCGAGAAATTCCCAGGGTTGAAGTTGTATAGATGCCAAATAATACAATCTTTTATTTTTTTAAGGAAAAAGTAACATGAAATGTTTGCTTACTTTGATAATACACATAATTGTAAGAACTAAAAGTAAAAATATTAGTCATAATCACATGGCCCATAACTATTTATATTTTGATGTATTTCTTCCCAGTTTTATTTCTATATTTCTAAGTAGACAGGAAATCATATTATTATAAGTAAAATCCATACAATTTTATTTCCTTGACTTATGTTGTTCAAGACCGCCTATATTATGTTGAAAATTTTCATTGCTAGTAAATAACTCTTTCCCTTGAAAGTAATGCTTTTAAAGTTTTACTCTGAATAATATTTTCTCTATGTGTTTGGTGGATTTTATCAGTTAAAAAAAGTTACTTTCTAGTTCTAGTTGTCTAACAAGTTTTCAGCCTAAAAAACACTGAACTTTATTATCCTTTTCTACATCTTTGGAGGTGATAATGGGGTTTTTCTCATTTAAACCATAATGTGGTGAAATTATAATGATTCATATTCTGATGTTGAATTATCCTTAATTTTTGCATGAAAAAAAGCCCACAATAGGTCACAGATTAATGTTTATGTAATAGATCAGCAGAAGCAATTTTTTTTGATGATTTTGGTATTTGTGATTATAAATATGATTTAGGGTATAATTTTGTTTTCTATACTGTCTGTATCTGGTTATGTTATCTCAGATGCCATAGCATCATGTTATCTGAAGCTACTTATACTAAATGTCTTTTTTTCAAAGTTGTGTAGAATTACTTGTACATCTGGTCTGTTTGGCACATTTGGATGAGATATATTTTTGATAGCTCTTTAAATTTTTAAAATTGGTTTAGTTTATCTAATTTCTGTATTTATTACAGAATTTATTACAGTATTTATTACAAATTTGCAAGTTGTTTTTTTTTCTACAAGTTTCTCTTAGTAGTCTTTTAAAATTATGAACATACAAGTCTTTGTAACATTCTTGGATGATTTTCAAAACCCTTTATTATATCTTTAGCTATTTTTTTTGTTTATTAAATAAAAATAATTTTATGTTTTCTATTTTTGTAGCTTAGTCTTATAAAACTACCTTGTTAGTCATTAAAAACAAAACAAAACAAAAAAACAACCCCAGATTTTAGTGTTGTTGATTATCTCCATTGTTTATTCTCCGGGTCACTGATTTCTGCCTTGGGTCTTTTGTTACTGGGATGAGAGTGGCAGCAGTGGTGAGAAAGGAAGCCATAGCTTCTCTTCTCCCTCAGCCCGGGGTAGTCCATCCTTTTCATCTGACAGCAAGTAGAATAAGGACTAGAGTAGTAAGAAGGAGGGTAAGGCTTGAAGGGAGATGGCGAAAAGTATTCCAGGGAGGAATACAGTGTGGAAAGAAAGAAAATCTCAAGCCATTCTTGCAAAGTGATGGGAACTTATTATGGCCTGAGAGTAATAAATGGCAAAGGATGCAATGAGCTCAGGGACTATCTTTGTTATCCTCTTAGGTCACATGCGACCAGAAAGCCAGTTTTTGAAGGTTTTAGGAAAGGAAGACATGCTAGGTTGAACAGATCATTGAATGTCTGTAATTTCTAAACCAATCAATTATTCTCTGTAAATGATTTATTCTAGCAAATCATGGGGCATGTGTGCCTTAATAGGATGTTACGCTTTGGCCAATCTGAATGATGGAAAATAACTATTTGTATTAGGTATTTTAAAAATTCCCTTTACTCTAACTTGTTCCAAAAATCATTTTTAGTGGCTGTGCTAACTATAATAGGACTGTCTATCCTGAAAAGCTAATTCTGGTAATTCCTTCTGTGCCTGTGCAGTGAACTTGGATTGATTCTGAAATGCCAGTGGGACTGCCCTCGACTCTGCCTTTGCCTCTACATGTTTGTGTATTTGCTATTCTATTGTGAGGCTGAGAATATGGCTTCAGTGTGCTCTGTAGTACTGCGTGTGCCTTCCCATACCAAGGGATTCGAAAGTGTTTAAGCAATTTTCAGTCCTGTGAAACCCAGAGGAATAAGTTCTTACCTAGGAGCTTCTGCACTTTTGTTTGTTATCAGGCCTAGTTAAGCCTGAGGAGGCAAAGAAGGGAATGAGATTTTTAGTGGATGAAGAGATGTTGTTTGGTTAGATAAAGATTGGGCTGAGACTTGAGGGCAAGGCAAGTATATTGGAAAAGTTCTGGAGATGAGATAGTGGCTCAAATCCATAGATTACTTTAAATGGATATGTTAAGTACAGCCAGAAAAAAACACAAAAAACCTCAAGCTGAATAATAGCGGATCAGGTAATAGGCCAAAAAGAATTTTAGAAAATTCTTACTGCATTCCCCTCTGCTTTTACGTTCTCCCACTAATTGAATAAAGTTGTATGTAAAAGACATAATTAAATGCTTTTAACATCAAAGGTGTTCAATGATGATAAGTTGTTTAGTTTTCAGTCTTTCTGTTTTCTTTCTCTCACTCTGTCCCTTTGTGGTCTTTTTTTCTTTGTATTTATAGATAATCAGGTTTCTATTCAAATTAATGCAAGTACAGAAATAATTCAAAATGTCACATAAATACAAATTTCTGTCAACCAAGTAAGTGGAAGTTGACTTCACAAATCTCAGTTAACAAGGATTTTTTTCCCCACTCACACAGATGAGACATATGGAAACAAGCTGATAGGATGCATGGTTTTCTTTTTTCCTAAGTAAACCTTTTAGATTTTGGGCTGGAGCTAGGATTGGATTTTTGGGCTAGAGTTAGTATTTGACGCCTTCTTTTAAGTTTATTTCATTATAAATTAATTGATACTCAATGCATTATAATCAAACCTTATCGAAAAACTATTTAGCGGTATCTACTAAAGTGTGCATCTAAACTTATGGCATAGCAATGCTATTTATTGTATGTACCCAAGAGCGTATGTATTCACCAAGAGGTATATACAAAAAAGTTTACATCAATAATAGCCAAAGCTGGAAACAACCAGAAGTTTACCAGCAGAATAGAGAAACCCATTCTGCTTTGGATTATTCAAAAATACTGATGAACAAAAGATGTCAGACACAAAAGAGTACATATTGTATGCTTCATTTTATATGAAGTTCAAATGCAAACAAATTGAATCTAGGGTGACAGAAGTCAGAAGAGTGGTTATCAATTGGTTGGTGGAAGGAGTGTCACTAGATCAGGAAGGCGCACATGGAAACCTCTTACTTGCTACAAATTGTCTAAAGATTGATCTGGATAGAGATTTGCATGTGTGTATAAAAATATTCATTAGGCTGTATAATTTGTGTACTCTATGTAAAGTATAACCAAACATGCATTGTACGATTTTCATTTACCCTTAAAAGGGTAAATGATACCATATATATACATACATATATATATATACATATATATATATATATACAACATATATATGTGTGTGTGTATATATATATATATATATAGTGTATATATATATATTTATTTATTTATTTATTTATTTATTTTTTTTTTTTTTACTAAGGCGACAGACTTAATATTGGATTGACTTTCTATTTGATGGCTACCATGGTGATCTGAGTTCTTATTATGTTTCATTTTGATCCTCAAAGCTGCTTTACTTTTCAGAATTTTTTGATCATGTAATTAATATTATTTTGCATTTCATTGATTTATATGGATGAGAAGTAGCTTGAGTAGGTTTTAGGTAACAAAAGGAAAAGCCTGGCTAAGTTTGGAAATTAACAAAGGGTGGGCTCCATATTTAAATATTAATATATTTAATATATGAAGTTACATATTATATGTTATAATATCTAACTATGTATCATGTTTATATTTAGTATCTATTTTGTATTCTCTATATTTATATTTAAATATAGCATAGAAGCTATTTAAACTATGTGCTTCATCTCTTATGTTCTTTTTTGTGTTAGACTTACATTTTTTTTTAAATGGAAGTAGATAACACAAAGAACAACTTCTGTATTAAACTGACATGATTAAGTGAACACTGAAAATACATAAAAGTGGCTATCCATGAGCATATATGATCAAGCTCATCAGAAGTTTAGAAATTTTTGTTTATTTGTGTTAATGACTTACCCACAGTTTCCTATTTTCCTCATGGCTAACAACTTTCAATACGTTTATCACAGGACTTTTGCTTCTATATAGTGGACTTGGAATTTCTAGCTTTCCTGAGTGAACTCTTAAGAATTAACGTCTTCCTGTTGACTCTTGTTTCCACAGGCCGCCCTGCAGGTTGGGGGTCATGGAGAAAGGCTGCACCAGTGCCGGGAGGTCATGCTGCTGACTTACAAATCCATCCCCATGCAAGTGGACGGGGAGCCCTGTAGATTGGCCCCGGCTATGATTCGGATCTCCTTGCGGAATCAGGCCAACATGGTGCAGAAGAGCAAGAGGAGAACGTCCATGCCTTTACTCAATGAGTGAGTATGCCCCTTGCCTACCTGTGCAAGCCCGAAGACCGTGGAGAGGAGAACGCGGAGCATGTGCATGGTGGGGGCCTCACTGTGTTGAGAAAGGAACCAAGTCCAGGAAACAGCCGTTCCGTGGCCTCTCTCACATTATTCTGCCATGTTTTCTAGACAGTGGCCACACTCTTCTTTGAAAAATCATTACTGGATTATAGGCTAGATTGATGATGCTTCTTCACTGACCACTGGAGTGTATATTCACTGGGACCAGCAGACAATCACAGAGTGATGCCAGGGCCATCCAGTGCACCCAGATGTGTTCTTTTTTGTTTGGTTTTAAGAAGGCAGGCTGTCGACCTCCTCTTTACTCAGGTCACTGGGAGAGTGTTGGTTTCTCCAAGAGCAGAGCTGGATTTTGGCTCGCCTCTCTCCACGGTACACTCCCGTCTGCCTGTTGGTAAATTGTCCTTTTCCTGATGCTCCCGTTTTGGCGTCCTGTGTACTCCGGTGCTTCAGCTCAACTTGTCATTCCGGGTGGCATCCTATTGTCTAGATCTAACCAGACTCACGAATTGATGCTTAAACACTCAAGGCTTGTACCAACCTTGGCCCTTCCTTTTCTTAGGTGTTTCGTTAAACTGATTTAGGCTAAGGTGATAATGACTAGATATTCATTTTTTAGTGTCCCTTAATCTGATTTTTGGTTGACATACCTATTTAGGGTTGGAGAAGGGGATGGAAAAAGATGGGGATTTGGGCATCTTTTTTAATATCTTCTATATATCATGCCCATACGCCTAACCTGATTCAAGCTAAGGCCATTGCAGGGCTCACCCTTGAGTTATTCTTCTGTCACAGTGAGGAACCCTCTCAGGTCCTCCTCCTGTTTGTGGGCTGTGATGCATGGTTACCTATTTGTACTGAATGGCTGGCTTCCTTTAGTGCCTGTGAAGCAAGGGCATGCTTTTCCATATATTTATTGAGCCACTATGGCAATCTACAGAAATGCCTAGAATAAACCAGTGACGCAGGTGCCACAGCTCACTGCCAAAACTTGACTTCACCTCTTTCTCCGAGATGGCATCTGTTGAGGAATAGTACTAGACAGGGCTCTTAAAGCGTTTTAATTTTCAGTGTCTGCTTCTGAGTCTGGAGCTGGGGTGAGAGAGCTTGTCTCCCCTGCTTCCTCCCTTCCCAGAGTCACTCTGGACCTCCCCAGCACATGTCCTAGATCATGAACCAGGGGGCCCGTTTAGGTGTAGCTCTTGTTTTGTTTAGGTTTTGCAGCTAGTGGAACTCCTCCCTTATTCCTGGCACCTTTACCTTCCATTGGGTTGAATATACAATTGCTGAGTTTATATGTTAAAGAACGTAGGATGTCAGCAATCGTAGATGGCTCACCATATTCTCTCTAGAAACATTAGAGGTAAGCCTTGAATCATAGGTTTGGGAGAAATCTCTGAAGTACTAAGTGAAAAGCCATCTCTGAGTCACTTGTAGATAGTTCGTTAAGAAGCTGTAATCCAGCTACAAGTTCTTAATATCTGCAGGCTTAGAGCTTCCACTCTTGTGCCTGGGACTTCGATACTTCATAATCTGATCAGACATGCAATTGTTCTCGGTATAGTTTCAAGCTCCTCTTGCCCTTGAATTTGTATTTGATATTTGCTCAGTAGCTATATTGTTAAGATTCACTTGGGCTTTCTTCACACACAAAAATGAATATAAGTAGTTTTCTTTTTGTACTCGTGACACACGTGACAAATGCTGTGACATCATAGATTTAGCTGGGCAGAGGTGTTCAAGAAGCAGCCTTAGAATCACTCGTAAGACCTATGTAATATGGCAATAATAGCATGCTTTTCATTTTTAAAAAGAACACATCTAAAACTGTAAAAATAACAGATATTAATTACTCATTATGACAATTATTCCACACTATATTTTTTTTAGAAAATCTATACAGATAGCCTGTTTTCAAAGGAAGCAAAACACCCCATTCCCATATAACACTTGTTCACTCAGCTTTACTTTCTCTCACCCACTGATGTTATTCACCCTCAGGGATTCGATTGCTGCTTTCTATTTCGGTAGAAATTCTTATTTTGAATTCTAACTTCTTCCACTGGATTTCCAAGTGGAATTTCCAGTTTAGTGGCAGCCTGGCCATAAGACCTCTTTATAAGTTGTCTTCCACCTTCTGAGTCTGCTAAGATTTTCTCTCTTTCAGCCATGGGTGTTTGAAGTTCTCTACTGCAGCCAAATCAGAAGGAAATCAGTGAAAGATAGTTATTTCCTTCCTTTATTTTTTTCCATCCTACTTTCTCCTTTTTTCCTTCTTTCCTTTCTCCCTTGCTTATTGTTATTTTTTTTTTTTACCAAGACTATGTTTCTTCTGTTTCACTTACCTGTCTTCTTTCAGAAGGGAGAGGATTGGTCTAAACTGTCTTAAGTATTTTAGTTTAAAATCCTGTGTGTTGTGTTGTTGTGGGGAGGGGAATTTTTCAGTCAGAAGAGGACAGCTTTTCAATTCATCTTAAGGGATCACTCTTCTTTCACAAGCTTGTTAACTGTGAATATTTGAGGTTGAAGTGCTGTGGTGCCCAAACAACTCACGAGTTTGCTCTTTCTTTGGAAGATGACATATGCACCCCAGGTTTCATAGAGCTAATGAGCTCAGCTCTGTGTCCTCAGCAAGGGTTTCTTCTAAAAACTGAAGACTCACACCTAAATATCTTGGTTGACACCTTCACCTGGCTATCTCATAGGAACCTCAGACTCCATGCACTGCTACTAATGGGCTTACTAACTCTATTTCTTTTGCTTTCTCTCCTGACCATCCAGTGAGCCTTTTTCATCCACATTTGTATGGATGGAACCACCATCCAATCATTCACCATGTCCCTGGTCCCTGGAGTCCTCTCAGTCCCCTTCACGTTTACATATCCAATGCAGTCTTTGACATCTACCTTCTGCTTATTTCCTGCTTCTTTAACTCTCACATCATCTGTTCATCCTCTCTGCTGGTTACCTTTCAGCGGCACTGCTGAAATATGCTTATAATTCAGTTCTTTACTTCCAGTGTTGCTGCCCTTCACACAATGTCTTTTCCAAGTTACAATGACCTTTCTAAAAATGTGGAGCCTGTAGTCTTTAGCTTTACAGACCTTTCTGATCACTGACTTCTTCATATTACAATGCTCCAGGGATGATTGCTATTTCTGTTTTTTAAACTAGCCTGTTTTTACATCACCATGTTTTTTTAAACTAACCTGTTTTTTACATCACCATATTTTTTCACGTCTGTTGCCCTCCTCACCTCCTTTCCACCTGCTAACTCTCGCTCAAGTTCAAGACCCCATTGAAATATCACTTTTTCTAAGACTCCTTTTCTATCTATTTCTAGCTATTAAATACACCACTCAGTGCTCCTATAGTGCTCTTGCTTACAGCCATCACACTATTTGTCAAAAATGGTATAATCATTGGTTTACTTGTCTCTCTTCTTTGCTCTGTTGGAAGACGTTGGGTGCCTGTCAGTGGGCCTGTCAGTGGGCCTGAGACTCATTACCTGGATCAAATCTATAATGTCCTATCTGTTACATTTCACAGAAATTATTTCTAAAATAGCATGAATTTAAAATCTCATGAATTTCAAAATAATCTAGGAAATGTCTTGATCCCACTTTATGATAATAAGTGGAAGAATTTCAATATCTGATCCACATGGATAGCTGGAGGAATCCCCATGAAAAATGGTTATATAGTAAGCCTTCATGATACTACTAGAGCTCCATTTATGCAAAACGGAAAAGACAATTTTTAAAAAATTTCTTGGTTTATAATCCCATTTGTTATTACTATACATACAAACTGAAAGGTTAGGCACCATTTGTGTTCAGTAGCCCCCGCCACTGCCCCTTCATTGGTACAAGAACATATCTCGTTTTATTGTGGCTTATGAATCTACTCAAAATCTGAACTCCAGTAAATACCTTTCCCAAAAAGCATGATAGAGGAGATCTGTCTAGGTTCATATTCATGTGTTAGCAATGTGATAGCCAGATATATTTGATCATACTCTCTATTTGGGAGGCACTTCAGAAAGAGAGCAGAAACTTAACATTACTTATGTGTTTAGGGAGAACGTAAGCTCTTACAGCTGTTTCCCTGAATTCACAGGTAATTAATTAAGACTATGTTGTTAAGGGTGATTGTATTGTCCAAAGGTAAGATTTCTAGTTGGCAGCCTTTGAATTAGGCAACCAGAATCCTTCATCCTGGCTGCTGATTATTCTTGGTTGTAACTCATATTTGAGAATAACAGGGAGTTACTTCATGGGTGACTTCATGTGAGAATTCCATACCCAGTAGAAAAGATGGATCAGGGAGCTATGCCTATTGCAGTTATAGTGAAACTATTCAAATCATCTGAGAGAGTGGAGAGAATCATTATGTAAAAGTCACAGGAAATTTGGGGTTTAGTTTCTTAAATTTCACATATTTTCTTTTCTAATAGCCACTCAAGACTCCCTCCTGTATAAATGGAGACCAAAGGGAGAAGTCTATGGTTTCACTCTTCTACCAAGAATATGAGTGGAATTACGGCATCACTGTGGCGAATTTAGACTGTTTGGGGATTGCTGCTGGATTTTTTTCAAAAGCCTTTGGTATTTAAGCGAAGGAAGTTAAAATTCTTGTTGAGTCACTCTTTTCAAGATGGCGGTCTTTTAACATGACTGTTCCTACAAAGCCCTGGAATCATGAGGACTATGTTAAGGGATGAAATAGCCCTTGACGCTCCTCAAAAATAGTTGACTGTACCAGCCTACCCCTTGTGTGTGTGTGCGTGTGCGCGTGCATATGTGTGTGTGCGCGTGTGTTTCTGTGTGTGTGTGTGTGTGGTGCTTCCTCTCCTTGGATGTCCTGAGTGACCTAGAGCAAGCGAGGAACGTCGCCCCTCCTGCCCCTGCAGCCCTGCCCAGCGCCCCCTCCTGCATCTGCGCTGTGCCCTGCCCCGAGCTCCACTCTGCGTCTTGCCCCCGAGCCAGCCCCTGCCACATGTCCTGTTGGCTTTGTCACCATCACCGGCTTTTTGGATTGTTTTCGTGGCTGGCTTGATTTTCTTTTTCATTCACTGTTTGGTGATGCGCTCGTTGAATTTCTGTTTAAACTCTGTGTGTCTCTCTCTCTCTCTCCCCTGGCTTGGTCCCTGTCTGTCCACGCTGTTGTGCTGATTGTCTCCGCTGCTCATTCCCTTGCTGCCTCTAGCCTCCATCAGGTGCAAGCTGCGGACCTGCGGAGAGTGTCTGCCCCGCCAGGCTCCTTCACCATGTGAGTACAAGACTGGTCAGTTTTTACAGTTTCTCTCACCGCCCCCACCCCATCTCCTTGCCAGGGTTGGCCGACCAGCATTCTCCTCCCTCACTGGCCTGCTTCTCAGATGAAGAACCGCCATCTTTACCCTTTCTGTGCTTTGAGATGGAGCTGTGAAGTTCTTCCTGTTCTATTTGTCTTGTTCCTTCTCTGAGGTCACAGTTTAATTTTTTTCCCATAGCTGCATGGGAAATTATATAAAATTCCATATGAAGCACTGGTTTCTATGGAAAGCTGGTGAGACCATTAGACCAGCCTGTGATCCATGGCTCAGGGAGGACTCTGAAGAGGTGACCTTGGTTTGTGGATGGACCCCTACAACTAGGTGTGGAGTTTTGAGTGTATGTAGCTGCATCTGTGCATTTTTCTGGATCAAGGATCCATAGTTATAATAAAAGGGCAGTGATCCCAAACTGTCATTGAGTTAGCAAAGTGCGTTTTATACACAATAACTTCTCCTTAACGCACTCTGCCTTTTTTTCTTCTTTTTTTCTGTTGAAAACAAACAAAAAGAAAATATGTTTTTTAGCACTTCGCTTCGGGACTTTTTTATATTGTGGCCTCTGTCTTGTTCATCTTACTTTTCTCTGTCCTACATATACTTAGCTAGATTTATTATATTTCAGGTCCTGTGACAGATGCTTTACATACATTAACTAATTTATTCCCCCAACAACCCTATGCTGTATACGGTATTATTATCTCCGTGTGATATACGAAAACTCTGATGCACAGCGTGGTTAAGTAACTTGCCTAAGGTCACACAGCTAATAAGTGACAGACTGGGATGCAAACGTGGGTAGTCTGGCTTCAAAGTTCATGCTCTTAGTAATTTATAATTTGCCACCATTCATCTATCAGGATCCTCTGTATTTCTCAGGGCCTGGATGAATGATTGCCTTTTTAAAGAATTCGTCTTTGATTCTTGCTGTTAGAATTAGTTACAACCCTCCCTGGAGCTCACTTTGATGTGCTTGCTATAGTTCTCAAAGTTGAATGGATTGATATTAATTACATTAGCTATATCTCTGTGTGTATCCCACACTAGACTTAGCCTACTTGAGATCATTGACCGTATCTTCTTAGGAATCTTTGTATCACTAGCCCTGGTCACAGATCTTAACACAAAGTATTCTGAAACCAAACATGATTGGTTGTTGGCTGGTTAGTCAAGTGACTGAATGAAAGAATACAGGTCTAAGTTGAACTGTCGAGCACCTAGGGATATGCCAAAGTGATTCCTAAATTTCAGTTATATAAATCTCACTTTCAACCCTAGTCTTATAGATACACATTTATTTATTTATTAACAAGTATTTTTTTCAAAAATACTGATTTTGCACTTGTTCTGTGTCGGACACTGTTTTGTGCTTGGTCTCCAGCGGTGAGCATAGCAGAGAACTACCTTCATGAGCCTTAAAAGTGAGTGGTCAAAGAATCAATAAGAAAATAACATTTAATTTCCAATTTGGAAGCTATTGCTGGGATACATTCTGTTTTCTACATGAGGCCTGTTCAATAAACTTAAGTAGAAGGAATGGCTCTCAGTGGTCATTATTTTCAGTGGCTCTACTTACAGAGTTCAGAGAGTATCGAGAATATCCACAATAGAAATGAATGTGATACTATTCATATTTCTAACACTGTTTAAGTTTTTATTATGTTTAAATTTTAGTTGAATATAAATTAAATGAGGCTCCTTTTTTCTTCCAGAGGGTATGCTATAGTAAGGTAAATTGTTATGCTTGTTTTGATAGGCTATAGCAGTCAGGATACCTAGATGTGGCCACTTTAAAACACGAATATTGATCTAAAATGTTTATATTTATGTTATATATTAAATATTACATATTATAGGTTTAATATCTATATATGTGACTCATAAAATATGTAATAAAAATTTATTAAAGTGTTATTTTTAAAATTAGATAACAAAACACTGTCAAATAGAGCAAGGAACATGGAGAAAATCCAAGCACAACAGTGAGTACTGTGTCTTTATATAACATGGCAGTGGTAACTTAGCTTTGACCCACTCTCATGCTGCTATTTGCTATTTTTAGCAGTGTTTAAAAATCACATTAAGTTGCTTTTGTCCTCATGAAAGTCAGGACTCCCAATACCTATCTAATATATAATCCTTCGCAATTCGCCTCTTTAACTGGCCATAACAGCTTTAGGATTTATCACAGTTGTCACACATATCAATCATTTGTTCCTTTTTATTGCTGAATCGTATTCCATTTTATGGATGTTTCCATTTATTTACCCATTTACTTATTGAAGGACGTCTGGATCAGGGTTATTTCAAGTTTGGGAAAATTATGACTAGACCTGCTATAAATATTGATGAACAGGTTTTGTGTAAACATAAGTTTCATTTTTCTAGGTTAAACACCTAGGAATGGGATTCCTGGGTCCCATGGTAAGTATATGTTTAACTTCATAAGAAACTGGCAGTGTTCCAGAATGGTTGTACCGTTTTTCATTTCCTGCAGCAATGTATGAGAGTTCCAGTTCCTCCACATCCCCGTCAGCACCTGGTATTGTCAGCCTTTTAAAATTTTGATAATTTAATTCTAATGTGAGTGTCTTTTCATGTGATTATTTACCTTCTATTTTTAGAAGCACCCATTCAAGTCTTTTGCCCATTTTGGGGGCATTTGTGTACTCCCTGTTGAATTTTGAGAACTTTTCATGTATTCTGGATGCAAGTCATTTGTTAGGCATGTGCTTTGCAAATATTTTCTCCGAGTATGTTATCTTGTCTTTTCATTCTCTTAACAGTATCTTTTGTAGAGCAAAAGTTTCAACTTTTAACAAAGTTCAAGTTACCAATTTTTTCTTTATAGAGCTGTGTTTTGGTGTTTTGTTCAAGAACTCTTTGTTTAATCCCAGGTCATGGGTATTTCCTCCTTTCCTTTTAGAAGTTTTATAGTTTTACATTTTGCACTTAGGGCTATGATTTGTTTTGAGTTAATTTTTGTATAAGATGGGAGGTTGAGGTTGAGGTTAGCTGTGGTTTGTTTGTTTATTTGCATATACATGTTCAGTGAGTGGTTCCAGCACCATTTGTTGAAAAGACCATCATTTTCCATTGACTTGCTTTTATTCTTTTATCAAAAATAAATTGTCCATAGATAAGTGGGTAGGTAGATTGATAGATGTGGATATATATGAATATGGATATATTTGGATAGATCAATTTCTAGACTTTTTCCTGTCCTGTTGATCTACATGTTTATGCCCTTGTCAGTGCCATATTCTTTTGATTATTGTACCTTTAAAATTAATCTTAAAATCTAGTTGTGTTGTTGTCCCAATTTTATTCTTTATTTCCAAAATTGCCTTGGCTATTCGAGTTCCTTTTTCTTTCCATGTAAATTTACAATCATAAATTTTACCTGTATCTCCCAAAACCCTTCTAGGACATTGACTGGAATTGCATTGAATCTGGAGATTGATTTGGGGCATATGATATCTTTACTATGCTGAGACTGCCAATCCATGAATACTGTATGTCTCTCCATTTGTTTATTTTTTTGCACCATTGTTTTGTAGTCTTCACCATACAGATCTTGTACATATTTTGTTATATTTGTGCCTAAGTATTTTATGTTTTGGAGCTATTTTTAAATGCTAGTTTTTTAAACGATGGTTTTCAGCATATAGAATGCAGAACTATGATGAATTTTTATGTGTTGGCCTCATGTCTTGTGGTCTTACTAAATTCACTTTTTAGTTCTAGCAGTTTGGTAGTATCATTAGAATTTTCTATATCCTCACACTTGTTGTCCATTAATAGAAATCATTTTCTTTCTTTCTTTCTAGATGTATGCCTTTTCTTTCTTTCTTTTGCCTTCTTGCATGGGTTAGGATTTCCAGTATGATGTTGAATAAGAGTGGTGAGAGTGGACATTCTTGCTTTGTTTATGATATTAGGAGGAAATTATTCCATCTTTCATCATTAAGTATGATTTTTGGTTGTAAATTTATTTGTTAAGGTACTTTGACCCAGACACCTGGGAAAGATTAAGGAGAATTGGAGTTATCTGTCTTTAAATGTTTGTTAGCATTTGTCCAACCATCTGGACCTCAAGATTTCTTTTTTCCCTTTTTAACTATAAATCCAATTCCTTTAGGAGTTGTTTTATTATGGGTGAGTTTTAGGGGTTTCTTTGTAGTTTTTTTAAGTTTTTGAGGAGCTGGTCCATTTCATCTAAGTTGTTGATTCATGTATATGGAATTATTGTAATATATCCTTATCCCTTTAGTGGCTGTGGAGTCTATAATGTTAGTCCCCTTTTATTCCTGATATTAGTATTTTTTTTCTTCTCTCTTTGTCAGTCTTCATAGAGGTTTATCAATTTTATTGAGTTGATTTATTTTATTTTTTAGAATCAGCTTTTGGTTTCCTTGATTCTCTCTATTGTCTCTCCTTCCCTCACATCAGAGGCCATGGGCTCCCCTAGAGCTTCCTCTGCCTACACCCGGTGTCTATGTCAGGCTTAGTGCTGCCTGGAATCCACACCAGGAGTTTTGGATGTAAAGCAAGGGGCGAGCTCCCCACGACTTGGATGATATTTTAAATTCTGTTCTCCAATCTGCTGCTGTCATTTACTTTTCAGAGTTCTCAAATAGCTGCTTTGTGAATTCTATACAGTTTTTTTTCCCTCATTCAACAGATATTTATTCCGTGCCTACTATGTGCCAAGCACTCCTCTAGGCACACATGGAATACAAAGATAAGTAAAGAAAAAAGACCAGAGAAATCCTGCCTTAAGAGAAGAGGATTTACTACATGTCAGGCAGTGGTCTAAGCAGTTTACACACGTTCACTCATTTAGATTTTATTTTATTATGTTTTTTTATAGCTGCATTCACTAGGGGACAGAGAATGAGGTGTGCCTACCCATCCTACCCAGAAGCGGAAGTTCTCTACTGCCTTTTACAGCAGA